GGGTTACAGCGTGATTCTAAAAATACCAAGGATCACACGATGAGGCCCCAAACATCTGAGAGGTGCCTGGGAACACATTTATTTAACTGTCCGATCAAGGAGATGCTTCAGTGGGTAAACACACAAATACAGCTTTTTTTTCTTTTTTTTTTTTGGTTTTTCGAGACAGGGTTTTTCTGTGTAGCTTTGCGCCTTTCCTGGGACTCACTTGGTAGCCCAGGCTGGCCTCGAACTCACAGAGATCCGCCTGGCTCTGCCTCCCGAGTGCTGGGATTAAAGGCTTGCTCCACCACCGCCCGGCGACAAATACAGCTTTTTAAAAAACACCCAAATTGTATCTCTAAGAGAAAGTATCGGTTCTCTCTTGGATACAGGAAAATTCTGGAAACTACAAACAACACCTTTAGTCCCAGCACCGGGAAGGCAGAAGTGGGTCTCTGTGAGTTCCAGGCCAGCCTGGTCTACAGAGTGAGTTCCAGGCCATCCAGGACTATGCAGAGAGGCCCTGTCTCAAAACAAAGCAACAACCAACACAACCAGGGAGAGCACATGAAGTGACTGCACATGGCACCACCATCTGGAGAGCAACTTCCTTTCCCTAGTACTCCTTAATTCCACCTCGAGGAACCGACCCCTCAGAAACGCTCTCAAGTGACTAAAGATGAATAAAGATGTGTCAGTGCAGTATATTTTTAAATTGAAATTACATTATCTATTTATGTATTTATTTAGTATGCATGTGGAGATCAGAGGACAGAGTGCAGGAGTTAGTACTTTCCTTCCACGATGTGGGTCTTGGGGATTGAACTCAGGTCTTCAGTGTAGTGGCAAGTGCCTTTACCTGCTGAGCCATCTCATTAGCCCCACTGTAGTATTTCTTGGACATGAGAAAAACTGTAAACAACCGGAATTTCCTAGGAACTAGCTAATTAAGTTACGGTATATTGACGAAAGACAGACTCTGTAACTATTATCAAGAAGTAGGGTGAGCTACTGTGACGATCTAGAAACATTACCAACATATATTAAGTGAAGTCAGTCAAGAGAAGAAGGGTGTGTGGAAGAGACATAGCTGGAGGACTGTTCGGTCACTGTTGGCAGTTAGCTATTCCTGGAAGGCGAGTCTTAGTAACTTCAGCTGTTATTTTTAAAATATTTAGATTATTCCAGGAAAGGCGCAAAGCTACACAGAGAAACCCTGTCTCAAAAAAAAAAAAAAAAAAAAAATTTAGATTACTTTGTAAGGAATCTTTTCTCTTTTGCTTTTAACATCTAAAAATCAGTACTATTGTGCATGTGTTTTGGAGCACGCTGGTGCGACAGTGTGCACAGAGGGCAGAGGGCAGTTCTGCGGAGCTGGTGCTTTCCTTCCACCATGTGGGTTCCGGGACCCCACTCTAGGGTGTCAGGCTTCAGGACAAGTTCCCTACCCACTGGGCTGTCTCAGTGGCCTGTTTTCTGTTTTAGAACAGGGCATCACATCGCCCAGGCTGACCTCCAACTGGACATGTAGCTGAGGATGAGTCTGAACTCCTCATCTTCTTGTCTCTAACACCTTCCAAGTGCTAAGATCACAGGCATGCACACATCCGGCTTTAGAGAATATTTTATCAAAAATTTGAACTAGAAAAGTTGAATTATCCAATAACTATCTAATACCCTTCCATCCTACACATACACAGTCCAAAGTCTTTTTTAAAAATATCTTTTTAGCCGGGCGGTGGTGGAGCAAGCCTTTAATCCCAGCACTTGGGAGGCAGAGCCAGGCGGATCTCTGTGAGTTCGAGGCCAGCCTGGTCTACAAAGCGAGTTCCAGGAAAGGCGCAAAGCTACACAGAGAAACCCTGTCTCGAAAAACCAAAAAAACAAAACAAAACAAAACAAAAAAACCCAAAAACTTTTTATAACATTTTAGATTTATATGTTGTGTATGAGTGTTTTGCCTGCATGGATGTCTGTGCACCACATGTGTGCCTGGTGCCTGAGGCATCAGAAGACATTGCTGGTCTCCTGGAACTGGAGTTATGAGAAGTGAGCCACCATGTGAGTGCTGGGAATGGAACCTAAGTCCTCTGCAAGAGCAACAAGTGCTCTTAACCACCAAGCTGTCTTATGGTGATATTTTATTTGTATTAAAATGTTATTTGTATGTTCATAAATAAAGTTGCCTGGGGGTCAGAGCTATTAGCAAGCCATAGGAAAGCAGGGCAGTGGTGGCGTACGCTTGTAATCCCAGCACTTGGTAGGCAGAGCTAGGTAAGTCTCTGTGTGTTCAGGGATACAGCCAGTATTGGATACACATGCCTTTAATTTCAATACCAATCATAGAAAACCTGGAGGTCTATACAGACAGGCCGTGAGGAGGCGGTCATGTGGTTGGGTTTACAACCAATGAGAAGGCAGAACAGGAACTCTATATAAAGACTTTAACACAGGGGTAGTTCTGGTTCAGAGAGGTAGGACCACCGCAGGAGGAAGGGTAAGGTTTTAGCTCTTAGCTCTGACCTCTTAGCTTTCTTCTTTGCATTGGTTCTGTGTTTCTTATTTAATAAGAAGGTTGGTTACATCTATACTGTCTCTCTAGCCCTGACTTTTTTTTTAATCTTAAATTGATTTATTTTTATTTCAAAGGTATTTCTGGCAGTTGTAGGGATGGTAGGCTTAAAAGAGGAAAGAACAGTCATATCTGAACAATAGCAGATGTAGACCAGACTGGCCTCGAACTCACACAGATCTGCCTGCTGGGATTAAAGGCGTGCCTGGCCTTTTCTTTTTAAGATTTTCCCCCCAAATACTTATATGTACATATCTGTGGAATATACACTGTGTGTATATCTGCAGAGGCCAGAAGAGGGCACTGGATTCTGGACCTGGGGTTACAGGTAGCTGGGAGTGGCTGGATGTGGGTGCTGGGAACTAAAATGAGTACTTTGCAAGAGCAGCAAACACTACTACCCACGAAGTACCTTTCCAGCCTCCACTCCTTTCTTCCTCAACCAAGGGGTCTTCCCATGTTGTCCCAGCTGGCTGTCAACTGCTGCAGCCTCCTGAGTAGCTGGTCCCCCTGACCCTGGCTGTACTGTTTGTTTTAGCAGTGCTGTTAGCTTTAATCCCACGCTCCTCTCACCTTCATGTACTTGTTGAAGACACTCTGGATCTCCTCATTGATGCTTGGCTGCAAGACCGCACGGAGGAGATCCATAGAGATAGCGGGATCTGTGAAACTGCATTGAGGAGGCAGACAGAGTTAGGGGGAGTGTCCCAAACATACTCCCCAGATTGTCCAGCAGTACTGGACAAAACCAGCTTTGTGCTCAGATTCTGGGCAGATCACAAAGACACATCATTTTATTTCATCATAACTCTCTCTGTGAAGTGAGAATTACTTTAAAAGTGTTTAATGAGCGCTGGGCGGTGGTGGCACACGCCTTTAATCCCAGCACTGGGGGGAGGCAGAGGCAGGCAGATCTCTGTGAGCTCGAGGCCAGCCTGGTCTACAGAGCGAGCTCCAGGACAGACACCAAAACTACCCGGAGAAATCCTGTCTGGAACCCACCGCCCCCACCCCCACCCCCGGAAAAAAAAAAGTTTAATGAAATACATATATTAAGACAGGGTCTCCCTGTGTAGATCAGGCTGGCCTCAAACTCAGAGATCCATCTGCCTCTGCCAAGTGCTATGATTAATAAATGATTTTCAATACCCCAGGCCAAAAATACAACTAGAATACCAAAGGCCCATCCTGGGTTCTTTTCCTTCCCTAGGCTAGACACTTAACTAGTAGCCCCACATCACAGCTGAGAAAATAGAGGCTAAGAGAAATTAAGGGATTGTCCAAAGTTATCCGGTTAATAATCGTCAGAGCCTGCATTACAACAGTTGTCTGAATCTTGGTTTTATGTTCTCTGACTTACAGATCTCAATCACAGAGACGGGAAACGTTAGAGATCTTAGTAGACGGTTGTTTTTCTTTTGGAAGTGGAACTGACTTATGGTCACAGGAAGAATCACAGCCCTAGTTCCCCCCCCTCCCCGCCCCCCAGTGCTCTTTCTGCGGGTTGCTGATATCAGACTCCTGCAGTGGGATTCCCAAAACACTCGCCCAAGTCCACATAACCGGATACAGGTCTTGCCCAGGGCCAGCCTTACCTTGTGGTCATCTGAGAGCGGCGGCCCCTTCGCTGCACCTGCCGGTGTTTTATCATTATGTTCCAAGGGTTCTGCGGGGACCAAGTGGGCAAATGTCACCGAGGCCCCTCATAGTGGGGACGAGGAGAAAGTGGATACAAAGCTAAACCTAGATGTTTTTGCTTCTCACTTTTCCCACCATGGGGTGAAATGGAATTCAGTGGCTGGAAGACCTTGTCAGGGTGGGGGACCTGGGAAAATGTTTTCTGCCTCAAACGTCCAAAGCTCGCTTGTTCTGGAAGGGCAAGAGGAAGAGCAGCAGTGTTTACCGAAGGTCTGCTCTGTGGCGGGTGATGCTAGGGCGCTCTACCCGCCTTTATCAGCCCATCCCACCACAACTCCATCAAGCTGGGGTTACTGCTGTTCATTTCACAGAAGAGAAACCTGGCGCTCAGAGATGGTCACATCAGGCCCACGTCACCTAGCTAGAATCTGAATCCAGGTCGTCGCACGGAGAAAACGGCACCCCCAGGGCCGCACAGCCGCCGCGTTCTCTTGCCCGCGGGCCCGGAGCCCGGGGGGAGCCCGAGGCCCTGCCCGGCCCGAGCCCCGGCCTCGCCCGGGCGCCCTCACCGTAAGAACCGGCTGCCCCGCCGCGCCCGCGTCGCCCAACTCCAGGCCGCCTCGTTCCGCCACGCCGGGGCCCCGCGGCTGCTCGGTGTCGCCAGTCGCCCCCATGGCGCCCCCGGCCCACAACAACCTCAGCTCGGCTCAGCCACCGGAAAGCGGCGCCGTGACGTCACGGGAGCGCCCTGGCCACCCGGCCGGAAGCGCGACGCGGGTGCCCAGTGCAGTTGCTATGGGAACCGAACTGCCGCCGGGGAGCCGCGTCTCGGTGGATTTCCGGATCTTGGGTGTGGGGGACGAGGTTGGGGCTTCCAAACCCCTGGAAGACGACGGCTGGGGACCGAGTGTGGGTGTTCGGGTACCATCCAGTCAAGGGACCAGTGCGGGTGTGAGGAGCTTAGACTGCAGCTGGGGAGCACCGGGTTTCGGATGGGGGCTGTCCGAAGTTCAGTCGTGAAAACTGCAGGAACGTCTGATGATTTGGTACAAGGCCCCAGAAAACCAACAAAAGGAGGGCCGCTCGTGCCGTTCCAAATACCCATTAGCCTTGGGGGTCTGCCTCTTTTGTCTGAAGACATCAGAATGAAGGTTGAGTTTTGGCTTGTGAGCTAACTTGCCCTGTTCCGGAGAGCTGGCTCTCCTTTCCCTAGATGGTTGATTCTGGGATAGGTTAGGGATGAAGGGTTTAGCAACTGTGGCGTTCTCTAGAGCCCCGCTTAGCACTGTCTCAGAGGTAAGCTGTGTCAGTGAGAGAACTGGATTTATTTATGGGTGATAACGTTACTTTGTGCAGGTTACAGTAATCAGGTAGTGTAAAGTGTTTGAGTTTTGCATTAGGAGAGATGTAGGTTCAAACCTGTTGTGATATGATTGCTAACCTTGTCTATGGGCAGGTGTGATGTTGTACATAATCCCAGAACTCAGGAAGAAGTAGCAGGAGGCTGAGGAGTTTGAGGCCAGTCTGGGCTGCATAGCAAAACCCTGTCTCAAAGCAAAGGGCTAAGAACATTGACTGTGGGACTGGATCTTTGTTCTCCTGCATACTAATTGCACAGTCACTCTCACTCTCTTCCACAAGCACCAAGTTATAAACTGTTTGTGCATTTTTATTGATGCTGGAACACTTGGATGCTGCTTTTCTGTCGGTTCTGACAGTTCCCAAGGATGGGACAGAACGCTCCAGTTACAACACTAGCTTAATTATTTTCTTATTAAGTTGTCTTTCCAGTTCTTTCCTTTGTCAGGGGCTAGGTAGGACCAAAGGCCCTTCCAGATCCTGTGGACAGAAGGAAGAACACTGAGCTTTTGTTCCCTGCCAGGGCCATTCTGGTGCCAGCAATGGTCTGGTGCCAGGGCTCTGGGGGGCCGAGGCCAGGGCCCAGAGATCGACGGTTCCATGTAAAGTTGTAGTTAAATATTACAGACCCTGAGATATGAAATATTTTGCTTACTGTACCAGAATGTACCTTGCAAAAGAGGAGCTAGAGTTCCCTGTAATTCTCCTGCTAGGTGAACTTCACTGATTTGTTTTCTGCCTCCCCATTTGAGGGGTATGTAAAGAGCTATGATACTAATAAACTGGCTGGCTTGAGTCATCAGCCCTCACAGCTCTCCTGACCCTGGACTTTATTTTTCTCCTCTCTGGTCTGCCCCCTCAGAGTCCCAGTGTGAACCCAGGAAGAACAGGTGGTCTAGTTTACCCTCTGTCATTTTCTTTCCAAAGGTCTCTCTTTGACCTTTAACCCAATAGCTACCTCTCCTTTTTTCTAGCTTCCCATTGGGATCCTCATCATTGTCTAAGAGTACTATGCATATTGTATGGCAGTATTTGGTCCCTCCCATCACATGTGCCCTTTGGCAGTGCCAGGAAAATTTCCACACTCCCGCAGCCAATCACTGTTCTTACTGTGGAGGAGAACACATTCCTGGGGGGTTATTATGTAAGAAACCGTTGGGATTGGATTGTCAGCAGTTGCCCAGTCCTGTCCTTTCCTCTGCTGCTCCCTCTGCTCTGAACTGAGCTCTCAACTCAACATCAGCAGGATGCTAAGCTACTTCTTCCTCATGAAGGCACTTCTTGCTCTTGGGTCCCTGGCGTCCTGGGTAACAGCAGGAGAGCACGGTGAGCTATCATTTGGGGTCCTTGGCTAAAAGTAATAGAAAGTTTCTGCGGGAGAGATCATCTCCTGCCTTCTAAGGTTTCTCATTTGTGGAGCCAATCATCACCTGTAGGAAGAACTGGATGGAAAGCTTGTCGGGACAGTGAGGATAGGTTGGCTTGGTTTTTGGTGCACTCTGCAACAAGGAGTTAGGTCTTATAAGGATATACTTCCAGCTATCTTCTAGAGCTCATAAAATGAGGACAGGGCCACACAACAGCCCCCTTTGTCTGTTTGTCTGTCTGTCTCTGCAGCACTACTGGTTTGCCTGTTTTTTAGTAATCGTGGGGTGTGTATCTGCGTGGCAAGGAGAGAAGGGGCTGCAGAGACAATCTGCATAGGAATACATGGAGATGCTGAGCTCCTCGACATATGTTTGACTCTCATTCCCTATTTTTTTTTTTTTTTAGATTTGAGTAGATGGCCGGGCGGTGGTGGCTCACACCTTTAATCCCAGCACTTGGGAGGCAGAGGCAGGTGGATCTTTGTGAGTTCGAGGCTAGTCTGGGCTACAGAGCGAGTCCCAGGACAGGCTCCAAAGCTACACAGAGAAACCCTGTCTCGAAAAACAAAACCACAACAACAAAAGATTTGTGTAGATGTTTCTCTGTATGTATGGCATGTGTGTACGGGTGCCTGCAGAGGTTGGAAGAGGAGTAGGATCCCCTTGAACTGGAGGGATAGGAAGAACATTAAGTGTTCTTAACAGCCGAGCCATCGTTTCGTCAGCCTCCACTGGTAGAGGCTGATCCCCATCTCCTTAGGCCTGGCCAGTTATCTCAATTTCGTATGAAGTCTCTTTCAGTGAAAAAGGAACAGTGCCTTCCTGATCAGAACCCATGCAAATATCTGTGCCAACTTGATAGGTCATGTCCTACTGGGCAGGAGTGCCGCAGCACAGGTGTTCCAAGGCCCACCAAGCAGACCTCATAGGGGTATGTTGTCACAAGGGGCAAGATCCCAATGTGTTCCCGGGCCTTATCTCTTAGATGGATAGAACCAGAGAACTTTCCACATTCTAGATTGTCTCCAGACACCTAGCTATGTAGGTTACCCCTTTCCCCTTCGCAGTCTTTGTCCATTCCGTACCTCAGCTCTCTGTCTCCTATCAGGAAAGAGAGCCCCCTTGATGATCCACATCTTTTACTTTGGACAAGCACTGTTGTGAAGGAAAGCCTGCTTAAGATAGTGGTGAAGACATCCTGGGAAGGTGGGTTGGGGAGATGGCTCATCAGGTAAAGGTGCTTCCTGCCTGATCTGCAAACCCAAAGACTGAGTTCTGTCCCCAGAATCTGTGCAAAGGTGAAAAGAGAGAACCCATTCCACAAAGCTGTCCTCTGAGCCCCATGTGCATGCCATGATGCACGTGCCTCCCCTAAAATAGTAATAATTTAAAAAAAGGCACTAAGGACTTAGGGACGTAGTTCAGGATCTCACTATGTAGCTCATTCTGACTTCATACTCAGGATCCTCCCGCTTTTGCCTCCTGAGTGCTGGGATTGCAAGTGTGCGCCACCATGCCTGGCCTTCTTTTTTCTTCTTCTTCTAAAGTCAGGGTCTTTCTGTGTAGCTCAGGATAGCCTGGAACCTGCAGTCCTCCTGCCTCCTCTTTCCAAGTACTGGGATTACAGGTGTTAGCTCACAAAACCTCTAGCTGCTTTTCTCACTCTCAGAAAGCAGGCCACGTCTCCCCTGTGGCTCTGGTCCCTACCTCCTTTTGGTATAGCAAGGACTTGTATACAGATGTTCCTCCTTGTTTCTATAAACAGCTCTGATGCCTTCCCTGAAACTGGCTTTGAGTTGTGGTCAGGCTCCCCACTCCCTGGGAACACTTCTAAAACCAAGAGGTTTCTCTGAAGAGCCCTCCTCCTCCCTGCATGCTGTTAACTACAGCTGTCTTGTCTTGTTTTTCACTTTAAGCTGTCCCTCTTACCCCTCCCACTCCCATCCCAAGGCCTGATCATGGCCTCCATGGTCCTAGGTATTCCTTCCCAGTGGAGCTCATTTTGAAGAGTAATTGGTCTCAACTTCTTCCCCCTCTTTAAAAAAAAATTAAAAACTTAATTTGCTTTTATTTAGTGTGTGTGCATCATCTAGGGCATGCATGTGTAGGTCAGGCAACAACCTGTGGGAATTGGTTCTTTCCTTCCACTGTGTGGGACTTGAGGACTTACCTACTGAGCCATCTCACCAGCCTGCTTTTTTATTTTTAAAATTATTATTATTATTGTTGTTGTTTTCAAGACAGGGTTTCTCTGTGTTACTGCTCTGGCTGTCCTGGAACTCTATTTGTAAACCAGACTGGCCTTGAACTCACAGAGATCCTCCTGCTTCTGCCTCCCAAGTGTTATTATTTTTTTAATGTGAGTGCTGGGGATCCAAACTCAGGTTCTCAAACTCAGTTCTTCATGCTTGTTCAGAAAGCACTTTATTGACTGAGTTATCTCCCCAACTTATGCCTTTTAAAAAACATATTATTTTAATCTGTATGTGTGTGTGCTTGCTCAAGTTTATATGCACCACAGGTGTGTGGGTACCCTCATAGGCCAGAAGAGGGCACCAGACCCCCTTGAACTGGAGTTGCAGACAATTTGGGAACTAAACCCAGGTCCTCTATAGGAATAGTAAGTGCTCTTACCCATGAGCCATCTCTCCAGCTCCTGTGTGTCTGTTTTTGAAACAGAGAGGAAAAGAGGTAGTCACAAAGTTATTCAGAGACATTCTGTTCTAACATGTGTACCACACATACGGCATGTCCAGTGCAAAGATCAAGTCCTTGCTATACCAAAAGGAGGTAGGGACCAGAGCCACAGGGGAGACGTGGCCTGCTTTCTGAGAGTGAGAAAAGCAGATGTTTGGCTGCAACAAGAGATGTGTAGTCTCACTCTTCATACAGAAGCTGGGTAAGTCCCACTCTTCATGCTCCATGGGTAGATTAACTTGCTCCTTTGTCAAACACACACACACTATCTGCTGCCAGGGTAGTAAATCATTCCCTGATAACTGGTTTTAGTTTACTTTGAGAAACAATACAAATGCCAGCTGTATTCTGAGAACTGAACAAAGACATGCAGAGTACCCAAGTCACGAGCACTTGTTGGATTAGTCCTAGCCAAGCGGAGCAGGATGCCAAGAGGCCATGCCACATATTCTGTGGAGGCCGAGTAGGAAGTTGCTGACTAATTCCCAATTCCCATGTCAGTTGAGAGACTCTACTAAAATGTACCCCAAGAACCTATCCAGAGACAGCAGAATAGAATCTTGATGTCTGCAGAAGACAGCACACACTCTCCTATTCACCTGCTTCCGAGACTTTCTGCTCTCTCTGCACACATGCAGGCTAGTGTCTTGTTAATAGTCGAGGCAGATTTTCTTTTATTCTGCAGTGTTAGGGAGGCTTCGGAAAGAGACCCCTTCTTCCTCTTACAGGGTCATCGTGACCTACTTCTCTTCTTATATATTTTATCTTTTCCCCACAAACATCTATTGGATGTTTATTGTTTGCTACATCCAGTGATGAGTTCTGGGTACACTGTGTTGGACAAAGCATGCAAATAAATACATGATTTTGAATTGTGATAAGGACAACAAAGAAGCAATGAAGGATGCTGAGAGAATAATGGGCACTCACATTGGGTTGGGGGCTTAAGGAAAGTATGTCTAGGGTAGTGACACTTAAGCTGAAGCTGGGAGGAGTTAAAACCAGCCAAGGGAAGGGTGTGGCTGGATATTGAAGAGAGAATCCTATGTAGAGATCTTCAGAGGACAAGTCACCTGCATGGCTAGGGACAGAGACGGAGGATAATGCCAGTGGAAGACAGAGACCTTTGACACCAGGGAGGTGCCAGTGGGAGTGGAAAGATGACGCATTTCTGCTGTGGCCATGCTTCCTTTACCATTTCTTTAAGAGTCACTCAAAGTTATTAGAAGTTGGTGGTGTCACTGGGTGGTGGTGGTGGCAGCATCGGCGGCGGCGCACGCCTTTAATCACAGCACTTGGGAGGAAGAAGCAGGAGGATCTCAGTGAATGCAAGGCCAGCCTGGTCTACAGTGATTTCCAGGACAGCCAGGGGCACACACAGAGAAACCCTGTCTTGAAAAACCAACCAACCAACCAACCAACCAACCAACCAACCAAACAAACAAACAAACAAAAAAAGAAAAAAAGAAGTTGGTGGTGGTGTCTGTGTGGAACTAATTGTTTTCCTGCTATTTTAGATTTTTCATGGCTACTTGTGCTTGTTTATACTTCTCAGTATTCTCATGATCACATTTCCTGTCTCTCTTCATTCTCCAAACTCCTTTTCTGGGAATGATGTTAGATGTATACAATGGCTTTTGGAGAGCTAACCCAGATATAATATGCAACCTTATGTCTGCCTGTTGCTCAGACTTTAGGGTGTTTTATAGATTTAAAATATTTCTTGATACATTTTTTCTTGGGTGGCTTATTTTCTGAAATGAGGTCATTTATTACTTTACTTTTGTTCTGAGACAGAGTCTCAGGTAGCCCAGGTTGGACTCCAATACTCTGTATAGCCAAGGCTGGCCTTGAACCCCTGGTCTTCCTGCCTCCACCTCCTGAGTCCTAGGATTACATGCATGCACCACCAAACCTAGCCCTTTTCTTCTTTCCTTTATGTCCTTTCCTCTTTTGCAGACAGAGCCTCACTGTTTGGCTCAGGCTTGCCTGGAGCTTGTGACTCCCTTGCCTCTGTCTCCTGAATGACATTCTGTTGTCTGCAGAAACTGGAGTCAGTCTCTCACCTGAGAACAGCAGTGTGTTAGGGTTGCGAGCGTAGATTTGGGTTGTCTGAGCCAAGCCGGTCCTCAGGCAAGCCTCTTGTGCTTCTCTTTCTGTTTCTTTCCCTGTGAGGTGGAAAGAGCCTGGAGAGTTGTTATAATGAGTTAAAGGGTGTGTTAGTCCTTCAGTATACATTAGGTTCTTTTCTTTAGGCTCCTA